CCGATTATAAAGAGCAGATCAAGTATTTTTTAATGTATGCAGTAACAAATGTGTCATAATGTGAGAACTACTACTACTACTACTACTAATAAGTTGTAGTCCACAGGAAATTGAAATTAATCTACTGGACCACAGGCTGGTGCTAATGGCACAAAACATGATATTAGTAAATGAAATATTGCCCTTGTTTTTTGTTTTTTTAAATCATTGCCTGAAATATTTCACGTGTAATCTATTGCTGCAACCACCAGGGGGAGCTCTTGTCTTTCTGTAAAATAAGGGTGAACAGCACAATTCTGTTGCTAAACTGCACAAACAATGGGGGCCCTTTCCTGCATTAACTGTCTCCATCGAGTAGTACATCAATGACGTGATTTCCTTTGATCGGTCCTGCAGAGGTTCAACAGTTTGTGATCAAACGTTTGCTCATCACTTGTTCCACATGATGAGTCCTAGACAGCGAGCAACACTAAACACGAGTCTCATGTGTAAACCGGTTAGAATTTTGGATCCCACTAAAGGAAGTACTTGACTGCAAACACAGCAATGACTTGCAGGATTAGCTGCTGAGGGACCGACTGCACCAGATTTGTGGGGCATCTGGGAATGGCCGCCTTGCCTGAGGGAACGTGCACAGTCGGTCGGTGAAGCCGGGGATTACGCAGAATTTTTTACTCAGTGACTCGTCGGTCCTTCTCGCTTATCCTTTTTTTTTTTGCATTAATATATGGTGTGATGAATTTGGGCAAGGCCACGACTTATTCACACCTCGTTGGTCTACACGGAGTTAAAAGAAAGTTTTCAAAACTGCACCGTCAGTGTCTGCAAACCAGGATGGAACTCTGCTGCAGAGTGAGACCACACAAGGCCTCCAGCAGAGTGAATTTCCCCCTCGGGTCTCTTGTGAGTGGTGGTTTGTTTTCCGCATTTGAAAGCCTTCGGGTTTTCCTTTTTTGCGCTCAAAGAAATAGAAACAGACACTTTTGTACACTGAGTGCCAGCACTGTTGAGAGTCGTTGGTCGTGATCTTTGCATGCATGTATAATTTGAGTCATTCACAGTCAGCTCAATGGGCTCAACGCGACAGCGACACAATGCCGAGAAGAGAAAGAGGCAGGAGGAGGAATTCTTTTTAATGTTGAAGGTTCAGTTGAAAGAGGTTGTCACTGTGTTGCCAAAGAGGAGTCACACTATCATCTGGCTTATTGTCAAATTCTCCAAAAGAAAGCTCTGACCTCAAGGTTTCACTTCAGAGCTGCGTTATTGTTCCTGCTGGCGGGACGAGTGACTGGTACTCACTGGATGCTGTGACAGGATGCAGAGGAGCTTTACACTCGGTTTGATGACTGAATGTCCTGCGTGCGATGATGGAAAAACATTTACTCTTTAAGTGTCGGCCTTCTTGCGCACAGTTATTATACTACTTTATACACAAAAAAGGGCCATGCCATACATTTCACCTTAATAAACACAATAACACATGATACATTTATTATACATTCAATCCATGCTTAACTCTGGATACTTAAAGTACACTCTGCTGATAATACTTCTGTACTTTTAGTTGTACGACTGCATTGTTATGTGGTTGCTACTTTCACTCACTTTTAGGCAAAGAACTAAGACTGCTGTTCAGACATTTAACTATCAAATAAAACAGAAAACAAATCCAAAGATTATAGTGACGCTGCATTCACAGAATGCACCGTCATTTGATTTGGTGTCCTGCACAAATATATCACAACTGTAATGGTGTTTGAATTAGAAAAGCAAAAGAAAAGACATTTATTGTTTTTTGTGTGGGGGTTTTCAGCTAAATTCAAGGTTACTCGCTGTAGCTGTGACATCAGCAATATGCGAATAACCCACGGGGAGTTCTCCCACGAAACACACTCATTTGTGGTTCGTATTTCCTTGGTCATTGAGGATGAGAGTGTTCTTTCAGTTCTCAGAAGAATTCAAAAAATAAATCAGCCACATTTGGATTTTGGACGGAAAAGAGAAAGAAAAAAAACATAAACGGGTGGTTTGTAGGTGAATGGCTGAGTAATTTTTCTCTAGTAGAAGAGAGAAATGCCTTCCCACTTTGAACCCGGGGCCAATACTTACGGTACATCGTGATGAATCACAGTCAGAAATGATCAAAAAGAGCAGAAAGCCGCGTCTCAATGTGCTAATATCTTAATGGGATGACTCGGACAACCTGGACTCGTTGCTCCCAGAAGATTTATGGCAGCGATCCAGCCTTCAGCACATTAGAGAAGATAAATATCAACGGAGAGGTTGGATCAATGCGAGGCAGAGAGACATAGAGACATTCTGTTTATTGTTGGAGCAAATTTACAAAAACGTTTTTAGCTTCACACAGAGTGTGATTGTCTTTCCTGCAACACTTCACCGGCTTCAGATATATTAAACATGTGTTGTTGGATCATTAGTCACTGACAGTGTGTCGCAAACCATTAAAGCAGATGATGGAAAGTTTCTGACTTGAAAATTAAATTCAAATTTAGCGCTTAATGATCAGATTATAATCATTCTAAAGCACGTTACGGGCCTTTTCTGAACAAAGTTAAAGGAACAGTTGCTTTTATGTCAAGATTTTGCATGAGGGGATTGATTTCAGAAGTTTGACATTATTCATTTAATATAGAGATTGAAGATGGTTAGCTTAGCATAACACTGGAAACAGGTGGAAACAAGATATGGCAAGAATTCCCCATTGTATTTTTTAAAAGCTCAAGAATGATTTAAATGCCATTTTGAGGGATACTGCAAAGACCTGATCCTCATTATTAAGATTTAATTTGCGGCCTTTGTTTAGTCGTGCGTGCCACTCCCAACAAAACAACCAGCCCTTTCTGCTCCTTGAGAAAATTAGGGCAACTACAAATCCATGAAATATGTAAAGGGTGAACTTTTAAGCCATTCCAGCTCCCAGGGGGAGCAGGACGATTAGGGTTAGGAGGAGAAAAGGGGGGAGTGTATGAGCAAATACTTCACTCCATCAACCGTTACCGCTGACCCAGATTCTCAGATCACAGCCATAAATAAAGTTTAAAATGAGTCAGCGGAGGCCAGAGCAGAGGATGGGTCAGAAAACACAGGCCTTTCCCCCAGTAGACTGCTGATTGTGTCCCTGGTGAACAAAGTACTTTTGTTGCCTTAACTTTACATTTTGCATTTTGTTGGCAGAAACCCAACCAAGGAGTCTTGTTCACTGGATCTTTTGTATCCAAATTATTGACCAAGTTTTTTTGTAGCGTTTTTTGTTTCGATTTGCATCAGCCAAGTGTTTCAAGCTGTTGTCACTGTGACCATCATCTTGAAGTGTGATTGAGAGGTAATGCATTGGATGGGTGTCCTTCACAATGACACGGGGCTGCTTTGTCCAATGTGGACATACCTGCTGGTTTTCCAGGTTTGGATGTTATCACGCCAAAATTATATCGAGGCACATATACAGTAATAAAATATAGTGATCATTATCTACGGCAACATTTTTGCAGAATCACTTCCCTCCCCGTCATGTGTCAAAAGTTTGGTGACGTCTCTATAGTTAAAAATGCCCTCAAATAATCCACAGTATTTTCTTTACCGGATTATCATATACATGTAATCTTTGAATGATTCATAATAGGAAATACATTAACATTAAGACATTAACAGGTCGGTGTTGTGCTTCTTTTAAAACATACATCCGCTTCTCTCCTCTGGACTTTTTGTGTTAACCGCTCGTACCAGTATGATGTGCCACATTGGTTACCCAACGGTATCCTTTATAAATACCCATATAAATAATTACTAATTTATGTGTTATTTGTTGCACAATGGCTTTCTGAGCAAAAGTATGAAAAAGTATGCCATCTTGCAATTCACCTTTAATATTGCAGGAGAATCAGACAAATTAAAGATTCAAATCTGAATCTTTAATTTGAAGAATCCTCAGCCCCAAATGGGATTTCTTGCCTGTGCATCAAACTTTTTCAAAAAGAACACTAGAATCAAAAGAGTCACATGTCAGCATTGGTGGCAGGTTGGTCGCTCAAAGTACGACCTCAGCTAAATAATACATTAAAGATGAAGTCTGTGAAATTAAAGTCTTTTATCAGGATGAGTGTCTTAAATATTCAGTTATCTGATGTTGAGAGCTGCAAAACCAGACTTTGAGTTACTGTATAATTAACTACTGGCTCATGTGAGACGACTATTTACCAACAATGCTGATAATAAAGAAAATTCTCTTGGTGTCTTAAACTTACGGAGGCAAATAATCAACATGTGTACTTGTTTGTGTACTTGTTTACAGAAACACTTGACACAGTATGTCAAGTTGTTGTTTCGGATCTCCAGATACATGTACGGTATGTGAAATGCAGTACGCCAAAAATACTTGGACGTCCTTCTCATTCTGCAGTAGGTCAGCATGCTTTGCTGACTATTCTGACCCACAATCCTCTGCAGGATTATACGACCAAAAGGGTCAAAGTTCAAGGTGTAACGGTGTGTGGATGTAGTGCATCCCAACACTAGTCTGTAAGTTTTAGTGTGATGTGGAAGGCAGTGTGCCTTTACGTCCTCACTTCAACCACTCAGTGCCGGTAAGGCGGATTCTACGGTGGCCCGGAGAGCCCAAGGCACCGCAAAGGGATGAAACAACGTGCAAATTAACTAAAAATCATGAAAAACACAGCTAAACACAGAAATAAAGCCCTGACAGGAGAAAGAAAAAAAATCCGAACATGCCAGGACACGCTTACATAAAAATAACCCTGTAATTTAGCTCATTTTCAAAGACCGCTATTGGTTAACAGGCAGCAACTATATGCGTGCGTTTTCTCTACTGCAGCGTGTCACCATAGAACTCCTAAAGCTGCTCTTTGCTCCGGTGGTCGGGGGCTGTAGACCCCCCCCGCTTTGTGCACCCCTGCGTGCTCCTCGGTCTCCTCCCCTTTCTCTCAGCCCCGCCCTCCGGGAGTGAATTGGTGAGAGAGAGAGAGAGACTCTGCAGACACACACGCGCGCACGCACGCGCACGCTGAGCTCCTGCGCTCAGCCCCGCCGTGTCGCTCACTAACGGGACAAGTTTAAACCTTCAGGATATCTTCCCCTCTCGACGTGAACGAGCCGCACTGAGGTCAGTAAACGATACTTGTCCGTGTTGTTTTTGTTGTTGTTTGGGAGCCGTTGACCGGCTGAAACTAAACGAGGTGGGAAGAAGAAGAAGAAGAAGAAGAGGAGGAGGAGGAAGGGGGGTTTATTCCTTCCTCGGTGGAGGAGGAATCTCCTCTCGCAGCTTCCCTCGCTTTTAACCGCCGATCCGACGACGAAGCGATCGAACCGGTGAGAAAGACCCCGTCGGTCCCCGTCGGTCCCCGCGGCTCGTGGATTCGCCTCCGCGGGTCTGAGATCAGCTGAACATCCCCCCCGGTGGTCGCCGCTGCGATGTTCCGCGTGGGTTTCTTTTCCTGCAAACTTCTCAAATCAGTGCGCAGAGGACAGCTGAAGGTTCGATGATCATTTAAAAATAGGCCCGTCAGTGGCTGCTAACTTTTGTTTTCATTCTGAATGAATTGTTGGGGTTCAAATCGATCATTTTAGTCATTCATCAGTCAGATCATTTAGTTAAAACTCATATTTAAATTAAAGTAATGTGAAATAAAGCCCAAACTCACTGGAGGCAAACACCAGCATAGGCTTGACGATTTTTGATTGATAGGACTTTGAATTGATTATTTTCTTTGGGCCAAGTCCCAATGAAAGAAAACTAAAATTGCCCATAACGTTTTGTCCAACAATCGATCAAACACCACCATGGTTCAGTTCATGATTGTTTAAAAGAGATAAATAATAAACATCCGTGCGGTCCTTTTGGTACCACGATGACACCAGCGCCGCCTCTCGCTGTCACTGCCTTATGTTCACACAATAGACTGGAAACATCAGCACGTTGTGCCAGATGTGCTGAGGACGGTCGCCGCGTTGGCCTGTCCTGAGCACTTTCTCCTGCTGTTCCTCTCAACATCTGCAGAGAGAGACACAGACAGAGACGGTGCAACCTGCCTTCACGCAGACAACACCCCTGCACACGTATGTGCGTGCCAACATGCGACTAACCAGAGAACGACCGTCCGGTCGGTGACGTCGTGGTACCCGGGCCGCGTGTCGGATGCCTCGGGGCTGAATAGATGCTCACATGTGACGCTCACAGTTGAAGTCATTCAATCCTCCTAGAGCTTAAACACTGAGGCCTTCTACACATTCCAAAACACCCCCCCACCCAAAAAAAGTAGCGCGTACAGAGGGCAAGCTTTGGTCGGGCACTGGCTCCCCACACGTGACCAGCGGCAGTACGAGCTGTGGTCATCGTAAGGTGGAGCTGCAGGGCAACGCAGGCGTCACAACAGGCCTTTGGGTTGGTAAATCCTCGACTCCTTTCCTAGCCTCCTCTCCTGGCGTCTCCTCGGAAGAGACGCCAAGGCCGGAGGAGTCAAGGCTCCGAGGGCGGAGGAGTCAAGGCGGAGGAGTCAAGGCTTAACAAAGTGACGTCAATTAGATCAGTGGTGCTGTTGAACACATCCATGAGAACTTATACATTTGACTTTGAGTCCACTTCTTACCGGCATAATGCGTAGAATGCGAAGAATGTCCGGCGCCTGCCTCGTCTGCAGCCCGATGCCGGCTGGGACCCTCTTTTGGATGATGAGCTGTATAAAGCGGAAATGTGCCGTCTGTGTTGCATAATGGTGAGAGGCGGATTGTTTGATCACCTCAAATAACAAAAAGGGTCTTTTATTAAGCTGTTAGTGCCAAAGAAAAGCAAAGAAAGAACACCCGTAAGACTCGGGCAACAGTTGGGGGGGGTCACAAGTCTGCACACTAATTCCTCTGCTGCGTGTGTCATTGCACCACCCTGATCCGCACACGCGTGTGTGTGTTCTTTGCACCTCACATGGTCCGTGGCAGAGAAGGCCCGACGCGCGACGGCTCTGCAAAGGCAGAGAGTGATCCCTCTGATTCCCGAGGAGCCCCGCTGCTCTCCTTCACTTCCTCCTCTGCACCCACGAGCTGCCTCCGTAAAACGCTCTCTGCAGCTTCGTACCCTAACGGATGTTTAATTATTCCGACACGGTGATTTTGCCTGTTTGCTCATGAAATATTGAAGCAGAACAGCGTCCCAGGAGGCTTCACCTCATCCTTAAACGTTTCTCCGGAGTCTGTGACTGACATCAAAGGCGAGTCAACACAAGCGCTGCATAAGCTGTGGATGGGGGACGTTTTGGCTTAAACAAAAATCATTTTTTTTTCATGCTTCACTCCTAACTGGAAGTATCTTGTGAGGATTGTAAAATCTCCTCCGTGACCTCCCGCTGCTTAAGATGTCTTCCGTGAGCCGCGCCTGAAACCACTGTGCTTGATTACTATCGAAAGAGCGATTATACCGGATCAGCGCTCTGATTACAGCTGCCAACCAGGCGCTGTCTGCTAATCGCCGGTCTTAATACTGAGACGGGCAAGTCTCAGGGCAGCTATCAAGGCCACTTTGTAATCAAAATACTCAACTGTTGAATTCTTCCCTGGATGTCGACGTGATTGTGCAGGTTTGGCTTGTGGGGTTGTGGGTCGCAAAGTGTGCGTTGTGTGAGTTACTCTCGTATTCTTCAGGTTGTGTTGTTTGACTGTTAAGTGATCTGGGGATATAATGGTGGATCTCCTGCTGGTGCATGCTGGGGTTTCCAATCCGCTCCGTCTCTCCCCTGTGCAGGTACTCGCTGAGAGGAAAAACAAAACGAATGTTTTGGTGAGAGGAGCTTGAGCATCACGTCAGTCGTCCCCATCGATCAATGCGTGACTGTGTTGAGTGTCCTTTTTCCCCACATTTATTGATTTTGAAGGTCTGTCGGAAACGCTAGTATTTATAACTGGTCTGAGACGCAGAGATGATTTAAAAATGCATGAAAGTCGATACCAGTAGATCTTTATTGTGCTGAAAGCCCCAAAAGCCAAACCTGAGGTGACACCACATAAAACCTTTTTCAGTTCATGAATCCTCCGAGTAGAATAACGGAATCTAGAACCGTCGATTTGTGGGTGGACGGATTTGACCGGCGGACAAATATTCCCCAACTATTTTCACTGGTGAGTTACTGTTCATCCATAATGCAAACTGAACGTTTCGGGATGTTTTGTCGGGGCAAAGCTAGACACCTGCAGACGTCACCATCGGGGTTCCGGAGTGTTTCATGTGCATCGTATCTGCTAAATGATAAATCAATAATGAAAATCCTCCTCACAGTGAGCAGTAATACAACCCTCATCACACCATCGCTGCCTCCACCTCCTCCAATCAGGCCGGCTTATGAATGAATGAATGATTTCTGCTCCGGCGCATCGGCTCGTACAGACCATGGGGGGAAAAACCAAACATATTATTTGTAAGGTGCCATGTCAACAAGCCTAAAACAAGGCTGCTTTGCTTCTTTATTTACATTTTTTCCCTCCGGAGCCACGCGATGTGCACTCGGGAGGCCCGGTCTGTTACCGCCGTTGGATAACGCACGTCTTTAAAGGCCTTCGTGCAGGTTGAACGTCTTCTCTGAGTCGCGCCGTCTTTGCGGCCTCTCGTGCCGCGTTCCCACCTCAACTGCGCGTTTCTGTGTCGCAGCCAAAACATCCCGCGCACGCTTTGTCGAAGTGTCGTGAACAGGAAGTGAGCTCGTAGAGTTTGTGGCCTGCACCCTCTGTTCAGGAAGGCGTTTGGCTGGGGGGGAGGGGGGCGTTTTTCCCCTCACATTGTTGAGGAAAGCACACAGAGCGAGCCTCGCAGGTCTCTAGTTTGATCCTTCTGAGTGCGGTTGATCATGCGTCCTTAAAAAAAAATGTTCCCGTCTCATCGAATCTATTTTTTTTCGTGGTGATTATAAAGAAAAGCACGACGTGGTTTCTCTTCTGGGTGAAAGCGGCGCTTCACAGCAGTTCTCATCAAGTCGGTAACCGAGGAAAAACATTCACTACTTTCCATAAAGATTCCTGCTGTCCTGATGAGCAACATGTCTCCTAGATAAGGGGAGCACAGCTGTTGGGCTTCAAAGGCCACCATTGAAAGTGTTGAAATATTGCCTCTGCGTGTGTATGTGTGTATGTGTGTGTGTGCTTTTTGAAGTCTGTCTTCCTGTATTCTCCTTCTCCTGTGTGAGATGGGGCTTTTAGAGTTTGCTTTTCCCCGTTTTCCATCTCTCTCCGCTCTCTACAGCTCTTAGTGGAGAAGGTGGTTGTGGCTTGTAGTACCGAGGCTGCAGCTGTGTGTGTGTGTGTGTGTGTGTGTGTTCCTGGTTCGTACCGTCTGTGTTGTTTCTGCCATTTTTATTTATTCTTTTTTCAAACATTTCTTTGCCCACTGTGCATGAAGAACCTCGACATAAACACACACACACTCTGTTAACCGCTAGTGATTTTCCCATTACGGTTTTGAAAATTAACCCCAAACTATTGAAGCGACGCTTCTCCAGCTCTGATCTCTTGACTGCGGGGTTCCTTTTGAAGGGAACAGCTGGATCTGTTTAAATAGTGATGAGTGTGCAGAAGTTTGCCTAAAAGCGTACTCTCAAGGAGTCCCCCAAATGAACGGTCAGTTTGAAGTGTTTTATGTTCCCGACATGATGCTCCTGTCTGAACTGTTTAGCGGCAGATGCAACATTCCCTTAAAAGAAGGATCAGGTTGATCAGATTTTGGCACAGATGTGCGCCGGCTCTGAAACAATGACGGGGTCAGCGTTCTAGCGCTGTGGGTCAAAGTCCTTGCTGGCTTTCATTCAAGCTATCCAATTACCTCCACACAGGAAGTTATGTGTTTAAATCTTTTTGGTTTGACGGCAGGATGTCTTCAGATCGTGTTGGGGAAAAACAAAAAATATTCTGGAACAATTGCTTTACACTGCTTTTATTTTGATGTCGGGATTATTCTTGGAAAATCGCGCTGGGGTTAGTGGAGCGATAAAGACAAAGAAGAGCGGCTACCTCCGCTGCCCTACTTAAAGAGGTGTGGCGGTAGAGTGGCTCTGCATGTTGTTTTGTGCTCCGTGAGGGCGGTTTCCTGCAAACCGTTCAGCAACCACTCGAATCACCTGCATTCCATCA